TTGCTTGCAATAGTTTGAGTGTATTATTATCGGGCAGTAATGGACTCCTGTGTTGGGACTCGTTGTTAGGCTTGGGATACATGAATGGCAACTCAACTTTGGCCAAACAGTACTGACCCTTCATTTTAATGCCCGGGAAGTGTTCGTTCTCTATGTCCAGACACTCTGAGTATAGGCCTAGGCTTGTGAACGAACCCTCCAATAGTCCCGTGGGTTTGATTTGCATTGAGTCGTAAACTATTGCATAAAAATAAACATGCACAATTATTTTTAAAAAATTGTTATTAGTTATTTGTAGTGAAAAGAGGCTCCAACTTTCTTTCACCAATAAAATATAACAATAAAATTATAAATTAATTCTAACATAATTTTTAAATTATATTACAGCTTTTATTTATTTTGCAAAATTCAAATGTACACGATATGGTAATTATATTAGCCAACTTAAATAAAAACAATTTTAATACAAATAAATAATTAAATTACAATATTATTATTTTATCTAAAATACTGACCAGGTCACACACAAATACATACATTTAAGTGGCCATCGTTCATTTCTATCAAGTGCCTTTTTCATCATCACGAATGACATGAGACAGAGTGGAGACAACTCTAGACTCTCGATAAAAGCCATCAATGAGTTGCGGACGTGAACCACACTGTCCTCAGACACTCCCTGTTTGGCTTCATCAGCAAAATTACGTAAATTGACCCGAACTGCCCTGCTAAAATTGCCCACACGCATGCGCAGCTTATCCACCAGTTCGACCACGGTCGGATTTCTCATTAATTTAGCAAACAGTTCAACTTTTGTCTCGTTGTTTGTGACAAAATCTGGCAATTTTTTAACCACTTTCGGTCGTTTAGTACCGATTTTTGCGGTTTTGTTTACCACAGAACGGATGGGCATTCTATGGCCGTCACCGCCCGGTATATCTGCATCGCTGGCACCGGAATCGGTGGCCACCGTGTCGTCGGCCGCCGCCATCACTTGACTATTACCGCCGCCCCTATCGTCGAGCTGTGGGTCCACGTCGTTGTCGTACTCGTACTCGTAGTCCACGTTGTCTATGGCACTCAATGTTGTGGGAAACGGTACGCATAGCACCACCAGCACTAGTATCACAAAATAGGTGCTAGAATTTGTGGTTAACAACATGCTAGTAGTTTTTAATAATGCAAAATCACACTAATATTAACAAATTAAAATGATAAACATAGTTTATTTCCACATTTTTTGAAATATTATGAATATTTAACACATGGTGTAATTAATAAAACAAAAAATAAAATAGTGTAATGATGATCAATTTAGTACTGAATTAGTCAGTACAGTGACAGTGAAAATAGTTTTTACATTAAATCTCAAGCGTTGAGTACAAAAGTCGTGCAAATTGTTGATTAAGTGTTTGTTTATATTAAACTAATCATTCATTAAATATGTATTTAAAAT